ATACTTGGAAGTCACCTTGGAAAGTTTCAAGAACATCCTCGAAGGCCCTTGTCACGACCAAGTCTGGCAAAAAGTATACCACTAAAACTTGCGGGAAGATTTGATGCACACACTAGGGGAACAGCTGCTTTCGCATCGAAAACAGCAGTATCGTACAGTGGAGTACCGTACTGCGGCGCGACTCCAAAATAGCAATACAGGGAATCTTGAATCTGTCCTTATCATTGCTATGAGAGATCATTACAGGAACCTTTTACACCACCATACTTCCCTGGTTACCGATATTCTTTAGAATACCTCCACTCGACTTACAAAAGCGCAAAAGCTGCCTCTGAGAGTTTCACAAAATTCACTCTCAGCTAAATTCACCAGCAACTCAGTAACCATCCTACAGTAAAACTCTAATCGCAAAAACTATTTTGGCAAGCCCTGCATGAGTTAACAGCATTATTTTCCGACGCCAGTGATGAATTGAAAAGATTCTAGCAGAACCCCAACGTGCCAAACAAACATCTAATTGACAAGAATACTTCCTGAGTTCCAGTTGGCTGCAAATAATGGGAAACTTTGAACGGGATCCGCAAAAGCCACGCCAGGACTGTGCGTTACCTGTATGATCCCTAATGTATGACTGTTGCTATTCAGGTTAAACAGTTGACAAGATCTCCAGTAAGTGAAATAATGAAAGTTAGAAAATGGAATCCCGATATTACAAAAGTTGGAAACTCGTTCTGTCGCTCAGTTGTCAAAATAAGACCTCAGCCTATAGATCTTGGCGCCATACATAAGAAGCTGAGTGATGTACATAGCATAATCACCGGTCTATCATGTATTCTACATTACGCTTGCTCTATACTTACCTAGGATTGCTAGCACTACTTTGCCTTGCTGCCTCATTTTGCAAATGCTGAAGTCAAATGTTCAAGTTCTACATATTTTTTAATACTAAATACAGATTCTTGGCTTCGGAATTGCCTTGGTGACTTTTGAAGATTTTAAAGGAAGATGAATCCATTGGAAGGCAATAACTCAATTTAATGAATAAAAAAGTCTCAATTGTTCCAAGCGCGAATAAATAAGGAGAGGAGTTGGAGACAGTCGCAAGGTTTTCCGTAAAACTTGGCCATCTGTCCCTCATAGTACTGTTGTCATCGAATATTATACCGGTTCAGTTGTTACCCGCGTTACCAAAGGCCGCGAAGGCTGCTGGAGAGTTAAATGCAAATTGTCTGCTAGTAGAACCTGTTTCTCTCTTTCCGGCAGCCGGGGCCATTCAGCACCACAACGGCTGACGAAGTAGGTACGACTCAGCAAGGGAGCACTGTCCGTTTATCACGAAGGAGTCAGAAAACGCAATGCCAGTATAGCAGGCCGGATAAAGCTCAGTGGGAACGATACCAACAATCTGAATTTGCAGTTGAAAATTGGAACATACCCTTACTAAGAGGGAAGGAACAGAAGTTAGCTTAAGGGGCCGTATGGTACAAACTCGAAATAGCTGGACTCTTAACAACGAAGCGCCAAGGCTTTGGAATCCTGAACTTCTGCGGGTGTATTATACTAGGTGTCGAAAACACGACTAGAGCTCAGGCCGGTGTTGGTTGATAGAACCCAACCTCGCTGATAAAATCTTTGATTGGAAGCCTGTCACCGGAAGGGTGGTAATCCTCCGACTGAAGCTACAACAGGCTAAATCGATGACCTTGGTACAGGTTTATGCG